CCCATCTATTTATGGTCTGGATGTTCATTGTTGGCTGTTGGAACTGTACTTCTTTATCTGTCTTCTTTGAATTTCATGCCTTCATTTTGCACTTTCTTTGTAGAGTTTTATTCATATCATATGTTTTCTCCGTTTCTAGTCAAGCTAGCTTGTTTGAAGTTTGGCAGAGTGCTTGTAAGCGTTATTCCATATTCCTTCCCTTTTGTTTCATTGCTTTCACTGATGCGGCAGACAATTTCTGTGCGCATTAAAGTATGTTTTCAGGATCCAAAATAATCCATCGTCATTGCTACTATTAGGTAAATCATGTTTCTGATTGGAGCATTGACATAGGAAGCATTTTTCCCTTACTGAATGGATGTTTGGGATAGATTATTTCAAGAGAATATGATTTTTTGTGAAAAATATGTGGTTTAAAGGTAGGAAAAAATATGGGTTCACGTGCAAAATTATTTTAGTGGGAGAATATATGGTTGAAAATTAGTTTGAGGAAAAATGGTTTTCAAATAAGCTTTGCCAAAAAAACAATACTGAAAAACTCAATGGGTCAAGACTCAAGAGAGATTGGCGTCTGAGCTGTTTTGCCTATATTCTGAGATTGGTGTCTCAAGAACCTTTGAGAGAGTAAAGGCTTGCTTTCATGTATGCTAGTAGTTATATTTTCTTGGAGGCGGACAGTGATTTCCAAGCCAGCAGCTATTAGATATTTTGTTCTTTTTTTCTAGTTGTCAGCATATTCCTGAAGCTTTATGACTACTTTTTAGGAATGGAAATGGCTCAACTGATATGTGGAGGTTGTCGTACCTTACTTATGCATGCACGAGGGGCTACCAGTGTCAGATGCTCCTGCTGTCAAACAGTGAACCTCGTGCCTGGTACTAAAGTCTGGAGAGTGTATTTTATTACATAGGCTCGATCTATATATCTTCTTACTCTTTCCCACTTTCAGGATTGTATTGATATGCTCTTCATAAAAGTTTATGAAAATATTACAGATTGTGCCATAAATATCCTCTACACTACTTACCCTGGTTTAATACCTTGATTGTTCCTGTCTGGATTCACTTAAGTTATTCTTTTATCTTCAACTCATTACCACTGAATAATGGATGTGCAGCACCTAATCATGTTGTAAACTGTGGGAACTGTCGAATCATGTTGATGTATCCAGCTGGAGCTCCATCAGTTAAATGTGCAATTTGTCAGAACATCACAACTGTCAATGTTAGTAACCAGGTATTTACTCTACTCAGTTATACCCTTGCTCACAAAAATGCTTTAAAAATAGTCCTTATGGCTTACAAAAGTTAGGCTCATCTTTGAATGCTTCCATCAATTTATCCGTGTATTTGTCTCAGTGCCCATGTTTCCACTGCATATACGAACTATACCCTTTAAGTTCTTGTTTGTGTACCTCTTCAGGTGCCAAATGCTGCAAATTACATAATATTATTATTGAGTCTAGTCCTGATATATAGCTAATAGCTTTATGCTGTTCCTAATTCGTTTCTTCTTTTGCAGATGGGTGCATCAAGAGTTCCAATTCCTGTGCAAAGACCTGATGGAAACTCTACATCTGCATCAATACCGTCTACCTCCCCTGTGAGTTGATCGATTTGTATCATATAGTCACTGTAATTGCTATTATCTGATGTGGCATTCAATGATTTGAACTGCTCTATTCGATGCAGGCTGCATCCCATGCTCAGAATCAAACAGTTGTTGTTCAGAATCCTAGTTCTGTTGACGAAAGTGGCAAGTTGGTGAGTTACTTCACATCTCCCACTAGTTTTTTCCTTCCCACATTTCTGTATGTTTGCTGTTACTGTTACTATTTTGTTGTTTAAAACTCAGAAGACAAATTAGGCTGATGTAATTCAAAATTTTCAGGTTAGCAACGTTGTCGTTGGCATTACAACATAAGAATGTTATCGGAATGTATTGCATCGAGTACTATATTTGGGAATAAATGGCTATTTCAGGAACTGGGCTTCGACCTGGTATATAGAGATATCTGTGCATATCATTGCCAAAGACAAATATTGAAGTACAAAACTTCTGGTTGTAAAGTTTTAGAAAAGACTGCAGTTTTGTTTACCGTACGAGTAAAAACAAGTGTTGATATTTTAGTTATTTGTGGTTTTATGCTACTGAATAATTGTGTTTGCTATGTATGCCCGAAAAGCGTGAAAAATTGCCAACTATATATCAGCCGTTTATTTTATTTTTTTTATTCGGATTGAATTTATGTTGGCTTCACCGGGAGGCTCGCGTAGTTTGTTACATTAGCTCCAAAAGGATAAGTTGTGTTGGAATTGATAAAATTATGTGGAGTTCATAATTGCATAAAAGAAGTCAAAGTAGTGGCGACGGCGCGTTGAGGCACGTATTCGACAGTTCTTATACGCCCATCCTTCGAAAAATTCATGGGTAGGAAATATTGAATTGGAAAATTATCAATTTTGATCTTATACAGTCCAAAAATGCTATTAATTCAGCAGCAAAATTGCTCATACATAGTAAGGCCAAAAAGATGAATATGCTCTTTATAATCATTAAATTTTTTAAATGATTGTTTTGATGTATCAAGAAAATTCTTTGAAAGAAAAGAATCAAATAATTTTGATGGGCTATGCTAGATTACAATTATGGCCTCGTTAGGCACCCATTTTTTTAAAAATCCATTTCTCTCTTTTTTTTCAGCTACACATTCTTTATTTATAATATTGTATATAAATAAATAAATATTTCCTTATTTTTCAACTATACATTTTTCATCAATTTACTATTCTAAAATACATTTTTACATAAAAATGGATATCAAACACCCTCATAGTGAAAAACCGAAAAAAAAATGAAAATAAAAAACGTCATCAGTGATCAAGAATTTGACATTAACATCAACAATGAATTGATCAACTTTCTTGAACTTGCTAGATTCAGCAAGATCATCCAATACAGAAAGAATAGAAGTACAATATCAAGATCAATGAAGCTATCAAGAAACAGGGGACCCTATAACTCTCATTTTCCCTTTACTAATTCTAACTATGACTATCATACAAATCAATCTGTGGGAATTTCAATGAATCTTGGATGCAAAAACAGCACAAAAATCCAAAAAAATACTACGAAGAACACATTGCTCAAGCGTGCCACGCCAAAACTCACCTCTATAATAGTTTCTTCCTCCGGTTTCATGTCATTTGGAGATGGTGGCAGAATGATAGTTCCTTCCACCGGTTTTGGGTCATTTGGCGACGGTGGCATAAGGATCGGTTTAGGCATATGCGTCGATGCTGCTGTCTTGCCCGGCGGCGGCGGTGGTGAAAAGAGGCCGTTGTCATTGCTGCCATAGACATTGTAATCAAGAACTTTGTTGATTCCATGCACTGAAAAAGCAGCGTTCACAAGAATATCTGGATGGGTGACTAGAGAGTCATCGAGGGTGAAATTGAATCGCGAAGTGTTGGTAATGACGATGAACTTGGAAGGGAAGAGCGTGGGGAGGCGCGTGAGGATAGGGAACTGTTGTAGATCAGAGAAAGAGAGGCGCTGGGGGACTATGTGGTAAGGGACAATAAAAGCGTCGAAGTTCATTCCGGCGGCGTTGGCGGTTGGAAAGCCGGAGATGGCATCGTTGCTCGGAACGAAGAGAGTGGCGGTGAGCGGCAGAGATGATGGGTTGATGGAGGAGAGCAAATTGATCCATCTCGCAAAGTCTCCGGCCCGGTTTAGGGCGTCGATTATATTGTTCAGCTGTTTCTTTTGAATCTCCACCAGTGGCAGCGGCCGAGGCGGAGGAAAATAACTGGTGGGTGGAAAACGTGGGTGTGGTAGTGAGATTGAGGATGGAAAGGGTGGTGGTTTTGCGGCGGAGGTGAGGTGGAACCCGGTGGTGGTGCCCATGATTGCCACCAGGAGAATCAGGCAAAGAAAGGAGGAAATTTCCATCAGTTTCTTGGTGAATTTTGATCAAAATACGGATTCTACGATTATGAATCTCTATATATTTTGTTGAATTCTGAATTCTGAGAGGGAAAATTAACGAACTTCGTTTCTTGAATTCTGGATTTACTTCTAACTAACTTTAATAACCCGCTAAATTTTGAACATGTGACTATTACCAACTTGGTCCGCAATATTTGAGCCTGAGCATTTTAATCCTCAATCTATTTTTGTTGCACAAACTAGTCCGAATTCGAAACCCGACCTTGTGTTTATGCCAATACATCGCGAGGTGTACATATGGTGAAGCAAGGTCACAAGAGAACTAACCAAACAACCAGTACTTTATTATTTAGGCTTTCGACCCAACCTGAAACTATAGCAAATAGATTAGATTATGATCCTAGCTTAATAGTGGTATACTATTGTGGAATGATTGTTATGTAACATCCCACCTACTTAACTCTCATTTCCTATTACATTTACCCAAACCACTCAATTTATGGTAAGATAAAACGTTCACTCTAGATAATCTGATTTTGAACCTTGTTTCCATACTTTTCTAACTTGATCGCTATAGTGGAAATAGTCACCCTCCCGAACATGGTTGAACTCACTAATAGGGATGGCAAAAAATTCTATTTAACCCAGTACCCATGGAGTCTTGCCTTGAATGGGATGGGAATTACCCTCCTTACCAAGTATATGGGGCGCATACGGGGAGAGGGTCATTGTCCCAAAGTGGGAATGGGATGGCTACGAGAAACATAGTCCCCGTCTATTTACCGCCCCGTTTAATGTTAATTTCAAACTTAAATTTTTATAAAATAAAAATAATAGATTTATCATCATTTTTAAAGAGAATATAAGTTGTTTTTAACAAATTGGTAAAAAATTAATAATATTTATTCACTAAAGACATAAAAATAAATAAATAAAAGCAAAAAATAAAATAAATAAAAAGAAAAAATAAGTGGGCTATAAATGGGGCAGAAGACCTGTTCCGTCCCGTCCAGCTTTAATTGGATATGAGTATGGAGTAAGATAACAAAAATATTCGATTGGACGGGAGTGAAAATGACTGATCCATTACATACCCGCCTCGTTGCAATCCCTACTCACTAACCCATTTTGTTTTGAAAAGAAATAGGTATTTCTAATCGAAAGATCTAATTAGATTTCGAGGTGGACACGTTATCCATCTACCTCACCATCCTCCCCTACCTCACATTCATGATTTTTTGAAATGCAGAAATGAAATGGCCGGTGCATTTACACTATTAGAATAGGGTATACCTTCCAACCGCAATATCTGTGCCCCTTTTAGTGGTTCCAAGTTCTGATTTTTAGGAATTAGTAACATTGCTTGCAGTGCTGTATGTGGCTTTCTTTGCATCAATCTCATATCTTTAGATTAACACAAACCAATTTGTCTCAGCTTTGGGCTTAAATTTAGTGGCCCATTAAAAAATTAAAATCATTAGTTTTAGGCTTGATGTTCTAATAGTGGTGTATATGCTTGCTAGAGTTGGACAAACCAACCCAAACTGATTAATCTAGGCTGGTTTTTAAATTCAATTGGGTTGGGCTTGCGTTGAAAATCAACTTGAGGTCAGGTGGATTGGGTCTCGTGTTATAAATTAAAATCCAGCCCAATCTGATGAATTTAAAAAAAAAAATGAATATCTAAAATGAAAATAATAATAATAATAATAATAATAATAATAATAATAATAATAATAATAAACACAATATTCAAAATAAGTGAATGATTTGGAATTTACAAATGTCCTTCTATTTTTATATAGGCCAATTGACAGTGGTATGAATACTGTGTACAAATAAAAAATTATTTGACGGTAAACTAAAATTAGGGATATAATGATGAAATGAATGAATTTAAAAAAAAAAATTATATAAAAAATGCTCCGTAATTTCAAACTTATTTATATATTATATTTAAAAAAAAAATTCCTTATATAAACTAAAAATAACGGAGGTTTTCAAGTGGTTTTAAACTTTAAAAAATCTTCAAAATTCAACAAAAGAATAATTAGATCCAACTTGAATTGGGTTCAATCCAAATCGACTAAACCAACCCAAACCGACCTAAGCTTAATCGGTTTGGGTTGGATTGTGTTGGGTTTGATGATGATGATGATCATAATAATAATAATAATAATAATATTATTATTATTATTATTATTATTATGAAGCACTTCACATGAGCGGGAAATTAATATAATATTAATTTCTTCAACGTCACCTAATTTAAAACTCATTAAGAGGAACGAACGGCTAATTAATCAATGAACATTTAAATATATTAAATTATTATAATACATTACACTCTAATGAAAATAATATATGTCAGTTATTTTTAAGTAATTTTTGTGACATCTTAGCATGTTCTTAGTAAGAAAAATAATAGATAGGGAGACACAAAGCCAAGAGTAGTGCCGGTCTCTTGTCTGTAAATTGTAATTTAAAGTTTTTATCTCAGTTATATATGCAACAACATGTAGTAAGGTTTAATTTAATATGTTTTCTAAACCAATTAAAATTTACCATTCATGCATGGGATTTCCAATTTGTTCCACCCCTAATTAATGCCATGACCCATTCAACTTCTTGCTTAACATGTTTAGCCCCTATTTGACATAGATTAAAATCTGAGTATTTATAGATAGAGTAATGATATTCTTAGTCGTTCACTGTGATAGTCGTCATATATGGCATCTTACATAATGCTTTGTGATTTGATGGATTAATGTGATAGTTTTTCTTAACTCATATATCAATCACTAACTGGGCAATATATATACCATGTAGGGTGGTTGGAACATTGAGTGACTACAAATAGTATTATTCTTATAGATATAGGGTGCTTGGGTATTGCGATTTGATCTTTCCCAATCATCCTGGTTGGAACTTATATGCATCGCACTTTAATTTAGAGTTAATACGCTTGCATGCATTTGAAATAGTTAAGCTATTTTATCCCTTCTTTACGCACAACTACATACATAGCTGTCGGCTCCATACTGATTAGACCTGTCGGAATTTGAGAACGATCCATACCACCATAGTGGATCTGATTTTAATTCTAAATTAAAGTCAATAATTAATTTTAACCACATATATAAAATAACTTTTCAACCATACATTTCATCACATTTTAACAAAGACTCTACTAAAAATCTGATTTTAATATATATCAAACAGCAGATAATCAATCATATGTAATATTGATACGATATTAAACAAGTCCGGATCTACTATCATGACTTACTATTTCATTGGAACATGACCTTGTTTTAGCAAATGGGAAGAATGCAACATATTTTTGACAACTCGAAACATTATACGTTAGAGTTTTCACGTCAACTAAAAAGAGGTGTGATATGTTGAGGTCTCAAAACTAAAATATATTCAAGGAAAAATTCGAGACAATAAATCTCAACTCACAATAAAACAATTTTAATTTCTTTTTTCTTTATTAATATAGTCCAATACTATACAATCTGTAATAAGAAACAAGCCAATGATTGTACAGTGCATTTTGCATTTGGATTTTCAAAAACTTAGACATTCCTGTTTGGTAGGATTAAAAATTCAAATTTTAATTTAAGTCAAAGTTAACGATTAATTTTATTTGTACATTTTATATGATCTACAACTTTCCAGTCACAAATTTCATCAATTTTTATTAAAATCTAATAAAAATTTGATTTTAATCACCACCAAACAGGACAAACCCAAACATAATTTTGCACCACTTCGGGGTACTTTGGATGAAAATCTTTCAAATTAAAGTATAATTTTTTCTCACCATCAACTTAAAGAATAGGGGTAAAAATGTCAATAAAAGACATTGGAGACTTTGAATCCAAAATTTTCTTGGGTTAATATGATGTGAATCCGGTTAGTAAGGTCGTTATCGAACCCACAGGATTTGACACCTGATCCCAAGAACGCCAAAGAACCAAGGTTTCAGATTTAATCCAAGAATCATGAACCAAGCAACCAATCGTATATTAAACTTTTGACCTCTTGATCACACAATTATTGAACCTCACCCGGATTTGTGGATTTGACCCAAAGAATTAATGAATCAAACAACCCAACGATAACAGTGATACGAAGGACCTTTTGATTGCACACCCCAAAGAATCTCACCCGATGATTTGTTTGAACGCCCCAAAATATTAAATCTTGATAAGTTCGGTATTTTGAAGTAAAAGTTACGAGAGGAAAATCTCCATTTAATTCATAATAAAAGTCTTGTATTACAGTGTAGAAAAATAAACATATTTATACTAAAACCTAGAATAAAGTTTAAATAGAATAAAATTCTAAAATACCTAGAAATCTATTAAAATCGGAAATAGAGTCCTAAAATATCAAAATTATCAAAAATAAGAAATTGGACCAAAATAAAATTTCTCCACATCACATCATTATATGTACATGCAAAGTTGATGATGATGATGATACATATTTATATAAATATAAATATTTTTAGATGAAATAATTAAGAAAAAAATCCGGCCCATGAAAAAAAGAGAGGCAGCAATCGATCTTAGCCGTCCATATCGACGGCCACAAATGCAAGGGACAGGCATGGTGGCCAGTAGGCTGAGCCACTGGTGTCAAGGGGTGGCTGCTGCTTATATTTAGGCAAGCATACACAAGATTAATTAGCAATTAAACAGACCATCAAGGCCATTCAAGGGGTTGAATTGTCATTAAACGGATCCATTTTTCAATAATTGTATTGTTTAATTTAATAATAATATGATTAAATTATAATTGTGGATCACATGAAAGGATGCTTCTGATTCTTTTGTTTTGAATTGTGTATCATTGTTAATCAGAGAATCCCAGTTTTATTTTTGTTTTCTTGTGAATTGTGTCATGTTTGAACGTGGAGTGTGTGTAATTTGGGGATGGACCACATCGAAAAATGTTACAAAATAACCAAGTTGGTTAAAAGATATATTTATAAAATTTAATGTTGAT